GTATTTCCATCTAGTGGTGAAAATCACAAATCAAGTAACACACACGTGTTGTGTATGTGTAGGTACGTAATAAAGTACAGAAGATGGATATGTGTGCGTGTGTATATAAACACAGAGTGTTCGAAATATCTTACATTTTGTATTTACCTCTCGACGTGCAAGGTATATCTCGACAAGAAACAAGTTATTTAAAATAAATATCTTTTCTCTTATATGTGTCTCGAGAGATACACAGTATTATAAAATGCTTTACTGAATTATAAGAAAAAGTGAAATGTTAAGACTTGAAAAAATCAAAGAGTTGCTTTTATTTTGCTCTTCTTGCCAATTTTGTTGNGGTTTCTTTACAGTATACATGCGAGATAAATAAAAGTTGTTTTTAATATTCACGAAAGCTTTATAAAAACTGAACTTTACGAANAATCTGCATTTCTAATTTTTATACCGACATTCGCGAAATAACATCGCCGACGATGTAGTAAAATCGAGATATGCGGAATCTCCGTCTCTGAATTATAACGCCGGGAATTTTTCGAAAATTTGGATCGGCGGTACGGAATTACAAGATCTAGGTGACACAATTTTTTTCCGGAAAAATGACGAAATATTTTCTTCGCGGTAAACGCTTGCGACACTGACAGAAGAATTGTTGTGAAAATGTAAAAGTCTAGAAGAGAGCAACGCAAATAAAATACAATTTACGAATTTCTTCTGAATTCTCGATGACGAGAGTACGTAACATATGTACTTTTACACGAAAACTTGACGTGCAATTTTTGCGGAATTAAAGCAAACATGCAAATGTACCATCGGTCTTCCGTTTAAAAACACGAGAATAAAGTGCGCCACTTCAATTTCTGAAATAGTAGCATTTAGCGTTCCTCCGCTCACGAAAGGTTTCGCGAATAAAAAGGACTGAGAAAATTTGCGGGTTTACCGCTCTCGTTCAGAAGTGGTGTCGCGATATCGATCGACTTCCACAACTGGGTGCCATTAGACTTTTTGCCTAATAGTATGAACTATTGCGGCCGAGAACTCCGAAGAAAGCTTACGTTGGTAACCTACTTTTCGATCGTGCTAGAGGTAAAATCTTTTTTCCAGAATCAGGTCGGTGCGCATAAAAGACGTTGCGAAATGCGGCACACGCAAGTAGGTCAGACATCTAACTACGAACCGGCTTTATTCATCTGAGTTAATCAATTGTGTTATAATTATCTGTCTCAATAATTTGCAATTACTTATCAAGCTCGTAATTATTTAACAAAGCATCGTTCGACCTCTCGAACACCTCGCGTTCGGAATAAAATTGATCTGTACTTACTTTATTCGATTATAAACTAGCAGCTCGGCTATCTCTCGGCCTAGCCTCGAGTACAGAGTTTCTACAAAGACCAACACCTTCGGATCTATCCTTAACCGTGCTTCACTGCGATGGTCCGGTGCTGACGGCAGTCTGGTTGCTCCTCTTAGAGTGGAACATCGTATCGCCGGCTCCGGTCTCGTATCACGATGTATCAAGCTATATTAGAATAAAAATCAATTAGCATAAAATTATTGAATAAAAAGATATTAGATAAAATAATCAAACATTTTGCTCAATGCTTAAAAAGTATTTAAATTGTAATGTTTTTTTTATTATAACGTATCAAAAATACGACGAATAATAAAACCTTAATCTTAAGAAATAGAACTTTAAATAAATTCATATTGTAATACAATATTTTATTGCACATTGCCAATATGTTACGCTAGATTATTAATGACGCTCCAAGAGTTTGAAGAATTTCTATTCATCATGCATACAGCACATTTTCTCCCTCAGCGCGCGCGAACCATCTCGCACTTCAAAAGCTTTACATATATTTAGAGATATTTCCTTGTTACTACGCGAGTCTCTCGCGTTATTTTATAACCCTGCGTTACAAGGTTTCCACGATAATGCTAAATGTTCAAAGAGCAAGAGAAACTTTTCGATTGGCCTCGCAGGAACGAATTCTTCCGCCGAATTCTTCGTAACGAGCGACCCCCGAAGAATGCACGGCAGCTCTTTCAACCTGTCCTCAAAGTTCCTCTTTCTACAAACGGATACAGGGAGCTACCGTGTATCCGTGAGAACACGGATGTGCAACAACGACGCAAGAATTTCGGGACGTATGCGTAGCTTCACAAAGGACCCTTTAACGCTGCTGCAACGAGCCCTTCCGGACAGCCATTAGCATCGAGCATTTTGCGAGTCTCCTAGCATTTACCCCGTGCAAGTTACGCTTCCACGTTGACGTGGTGATAAAAGGAATGTTTTTTTCGTCTCGCGTTTTAACATTGCTGGTGTTGTTTTTTTTAATCGCACGCGAGAGTAAAAAGCTTTGAGACATTCAATATTTTATTTAAAGAGAATATATTTTCAATGGGCTTTAGAAATTAAGCAACTTTCTTGAGTATAAAATTTTTTTCAAAAATATAACACTTGTACTGTAATTTTCATTTGTAATATCTTTTTATTTTTAAAATTTAAAAGGTCTTGAATTTCGACATAAATGAAATAAAGAAAAAAGCGCAATTATAAATTTTTTTCAAACTTTAAGACAAATTATACGGCTACGTTCCTACGGTGTGCTCTTTTATGTTGACGTTTGTCACGAGAAAATCCCATTGTACATCGGTCGGTCTATCGATTTAATACGCTCTCAATAACCGAGTTTCTCACCGAAAATCAGACCTTTGTGGGAAGCAGAGGATACGCTAAAACTGGTCGACGTACAAACACGCAGAGTCACTTTCCATAATAGAACAGCAACAACTATTATGGCGTACACGAATCTGTCGAATGTGTCAAATTATTAATTGCAGTGCCAACAAGATCAAAATTGTTCTCGTCACAATTACAAATTTATTTGTGCCAAACTCACTGACATGTAAAAATGTTACTTGCCGAGTTACGAAATAAACGTGGATATTACGTGTTAATTAAAATAGTAGATGCAGTGTGTGTTGGGTACCCGTCAACTTCAAACTAACGCTGATATAAAACATTTTAAAAACGTCAAAAGCTTCTAAAGTGTATATAAAAAAAATAATAATTTTTTATAATAAAAACAATTTTTGAAGTTGATTTGTAAGCGAAAAACTGAAGAGTTTGAGAACTTCTGAGTCTGAATAGAAACAAAACAGATTATCGATGCACTTGAGCTCTTATCCTCTGCAGTTTACAATTTATGCACATTAGGCGTCGCGTCGTTGAATGCGTTGGAGCGGAGCTTCGTCCGAACTAACATTTACATTTGTAGAACTGCTTTACTTGTTGTTACGTAGTATTTGATGTAACTAAACTCCGAGTAAATATTTTCCATATAACGTAATCACGAATGCAGACGTAAGTCGTACTGCTGGTGCAGGTTTCTCACGCATATAAACGCGACAATAAACACGATACAAATGCAGTTTATTAAAAAGACAAAAATAATATCATTAGACATTTTTTATAAAGTCACGTTATATATATATATAACGTGACTATATATATATATATATATATATGTATGTATGTATGTATGTATGTATCTCTTTCTTTGCATTTCACATAAACTCGTTAATGATCGATTGCTTATTAAAGTTTCTTATTTCGTTTTCAGCGTACACGTTTCGCGATAGCTTTCGGAAATATGTCCATAAAGGAGGAAACAGATGTATATCGATCGCGATATGCGCCCGTATACACTCGTATGCATGCTCGGCGCATTGAATGGCCTCCTCTGCATTTCATGCGCGGGTTATCGATGTAATATTCTTGACATTCGCGTGCACCAAAGTCGTTTATCCGCACACACGGGATCATTCGTAAGTATCGGAGGAACTGCAATCCGATTCGCGGCTACGAATGTGAAAGGTACTTTATGTGTGTGTTGCGCGCGTCCACTGTTAAAAGGTTGAAACTCTGTACCTTCTTTTGCCGTTTCACTTAAACGTGACACATTTAAAATGCGACTTTATACTTTATCTCAAAGTGAACGCGTTATTTCACAAAGTAAGATTATAATAATTCTATAGCGACATACCACGATATTTTTTGTTATATTTTAGTAATATGAGATCACGTTTATTAAAACTTAATTGTCTAAAAGAAGACATCATTAACGATTATTATTACAATATTCATAAAATTTGAAAACCACTTGCGACGCGTTATGACAGTCAATAGGGTACGGTCGCTCGTCCGAAATCCCGCGCAAATGGATCTCAACGTTACGACGTTGCGTCACGACGTCGTAATATCGGAGAACATAAAATCTGGCGGTTCATGCGGATGGCCGCGCGCGGATTTCGCTGCGCACGTGCGTGTCCGCACAGAAGCTTTCAAGTACTACTACGTTGGTAATCTGGATCGGTAGAGATACGCGATGCATCATCCTATCGCGCATCAGCCGTGGCCGCAAGTAAGCCTATTAGCGCGCGCGGGGTTATTAGAGGAATATCCATCTGACCCAAATTCCGGGTCCCTATCGGTTACAGGCGTGTACCGACATGCGTAGGCTGTCCCTTAATACGAATTTACGCTCCCGAGCGCTCTCAAATACACGCGAGTCGTCGAATTATCTTGACTTGTCCACTGCGCAGAAAATCCATCGTGTAACCGCGCGACGGTACAGAAATCTATCCCACAGAGACGCTCGCGTTTATCAATCAGTTCTCTCATCATCCCATCGTGTACAAGATTATCTATGAGAATGATCAGCAGCTTCTGATATATCGCGAGGGGTTAGTCGATTTCGATCTGAAGAAGATTACGGGTATTTCGTATCGTGATTGAAGATAATCGCGCACATTTCACGCGATACTAAGAACTTATTATTACAATAAAAGAATCACATTTGTTGAGAGCTCATAAATAATAACAATGCCGCCGTTGCAGCTAAAACAAAATAAGTTATTACGTAGAGATATTATTAGAAGATTGTAAACTTCGCGCGCGAGTCATCGGAGTTAACGATGCCGCTTATAGCGAGTCGGGGCTTTTTTATTCATCGTTAACCGTAGGTCGTGTTGAATGTGACATCACGAGACGTCAAAGAGAAGTCTTCGCTCGTTTTTACAAACCAAGCTTTTACCGTGCGGAATTTTTGCGTGAGGCAACGAAAAAACTAGATCGCGCTCATAACGGCTGTTTCAGCGTCATCTAGCGCTAATAAATGTCGCAGAAAAGAGAGAAAGAGAGAAGAAGAGAAGAAAAGGAAGAAACCGTTTTTGAAAAGTAATTTTAGATTACAGCCGCCATTGTCGCCTATCGACAGCCGATTAAATTACAGCAGAGAATTGCTCTCGACACAAGGGAGCGGCAGAACGGGGCGCGAGAAGAAGCTCTCGAATTACTACGTCGTATAACGTTACTCTCGTCTCGTACTTTTCGCGCGGATAATCGAGTTACGTCCGATGCGTCTTTATGATCCCCTTTTGCTTTTCGTTCCCTTATTGCCTGGCCATGACAGGCAAAGTCACTGGCACTTTTCGTGTCTTAGAGTCGTGCCAGAATCGTCTGTACCCTCTTTTGTGAGATGCTTTTATAGGGTGTCTTTACTAACTCGGAGAAAAAAAGAACAAAAGAAACGACGAACGTTTAAAGCTGCGTCAAAACGTTACACATTTTCGCAAAAGTATATACCAATGGATGTTATTCTTATGTATTCTTATAATAAAAAGACACAAAATAAAAACCTACAAATGTAAAATATTTATCTTTCAATCTACATAAAACTTATATTATAAAAAAGTAATATGCATATTAAAAAATAATGCTTGATTTGTGCAAGGCTTGACTTGTGCGTTTTCTCCTAAAGTTTCTTTATGCAAATTATGAAATAAAAAGCCACAGCATCAGAACGCAACAAAATTTGGCGCAGAATTTTAAGTTGTAATAATAATAATGTCTGTGTGTGTGTGTGTGTGTGAATCCTGTTTAGACTTTAATTAAATGTATGACTTCGGGAAAACGCTTTACAACCAAATTTTCTTGATGAATAGAAAATACCATAAAGCGCAACGCGCCTTAATATTCAGATGCATCCGCAAAGTCGAGCGTAAAGTAGCTTCTTTTGCGCCCATACTTTCTCGTTAGAGCGGTAAGGATCTCTTGGTCGGAATGGCGACGCTAATGAATCATAATCGGTACTTTCCGCGCGAAACGCTTTAGCCGGGTTAACCTGAGTAGAAACTTGACTATGTTTAGCACTGCACACAAACGCTCGCTGCAGCTGCTGCACGCAAGTGGACCCGTGACATGCACGAGCGACGATCGCTCGTTACCATCAATTGGTTAAATGACAAACGAAATCATCTTCTCGTTCGTTAACCTTGGATGTATCTTCCTCCCTCTTTCCATACTTTTGAACATCTTTTTGTCTTTTTTTCAGTTCTTTTTTTTTTCTTCACTTGAATTACTTCTAGTAGATTGTAGCGAACTTCTTTCTCATGTTAATTAGCGGCAAGTGTCTGTGGTTGCCTTTGTGAAAGAATAATAGAGATCTACGT